GACACGAAGACCAGACGTGTATTGAGCCGGTGTGAGGAGACAAATCGCTACCCTGGAGTTGCAAAGTTCTATTTGCTCAGTACCTAGTTTTGAGAGATTTGGGCGTAAAAAAATTGTTTTGAATTCCTCAACACGTCAAGCTTGTTGGAATGCAATTCTATGAATATTTTGAGAACGACTCCGAATAATCTTACGGTTTTGATAGAGCAGATAGAACATTTGGTTTCTGACCTCATGGTCTTAGTAACTCAAAACGGCCGAAAATGTCAGATAGAGCTTTGTGGTTTTGAGGAAGATTTAGTGAAATAACGAGCGATGCTGGAGGATCGAGCCCAGAGGCGGCCAAATGACGAATTAAACACATCGGCGCGATTGAAGCTGGAGAGGTCATTTACATGATAATGTGATATAGAGTGAGCGATTCTAGACGGATCAATGAGGGTTTATGTTGCCTAAGTACAGGGTAATCGTTTGCTAACCACTCACATTTATACACTAAAAGGCTTGCAAAAGAAAAAAGCGGGTGATGAATAGAAAAGAATTGCTCCCAAAAAAAATACGGAAAAGAATCTAAAGTGCACGTTAAAAAATAGTGCGTGTACTATAAGCGATGCACACTATACGGAAGAATGAAAGAAAGAATGAAATAAAGATCGAAGGAAGAGAAAATAAGAAATGAAAGAAAGAAAGAATAAATGAAAAAAAGAAGTGAAAAGAGAAAGAAAACTATATAGAGTGAAAGAAAAAAAAAGAGAAACAAATAAGTAAAAAGAGTAGATCTAGAGCGGAAAAAGGAGGGAACCAGGAAAAAAGGGGAAAAAAACAATTAAAAGGCAACCAAGAAAAAGAGATAGTCCACATAGAAAGACAAAAGGAAGAAAAGAATGTGATGGAGGGGGGGGGGCGCAATTGTAATTGTAACAATGTAATTGTGATTATAGAATTCTAAATTCACCGCCATTTGAGCGAAGGGCAATAGAACGATTTTTTAATATGGAAGAAAAAAATAAAGAAAGAAAAGAGGAACCAAAAGAAGGAACTAAACAGAAAGAAAAAAAAACCTATAATTATTTATCATTATTATTTGTCGTGCACCTTACCTGTGGGAGAGCTATGAGGAATGTGACCGTAAGCCTGTACGTGTCGGTCTCAGCCGAGTGCCAGAAAGACAGACAGCAGTAACACCTACAGATCTATCTCAAAGCCACAGCTCCTACTTCTTTAACACACACACAAGCGAATGCCAGAGTGGAGACAGACAGCAGTAACACCTATAGATCTATATATACAAAGTAAATCCCTCAACCCTGACTTCTGTTACACACAAGCCAGAGAGTCGGTGTTAAGGTCACCAGTCACAGTTACAGCACCGCGGTGCCAGCCGCCACAAACTAGAGGTGGGCAAAATCTGGATAAAATATGATAAGGATAACCGGATACTTCTCAATAAAACATTATCCGACTTTAGACTCTTAACTCTCTTTACTGACCCGTATGCCGAAGTGGGTGCAGTCCCATTTGTTGAAGTAGTGCTAACTCGTTTGTCGAAGTGGTTCTAATCCATTTGCCGAAGCGTTCATATAATTTCATTAGCCGAAAAGGTGCACTAACATTATTGTCCGGATTTTGCTAAAGCGACTCATTGCCAAGCCCTACCACAAATCCAGAGTCCGTGAAGGACCGTTGGCCGCACACCAGGGACCAGAGACACTATACAACTGCCTGCCTGGCACCAGCAGACGTGGACGGGGGGAGTTCCCGCCCGCGCTGGGTTTGATCAGACGATTGGGGGAAGAGAAGGAGGAGGAGGAGGAGGAAGTGGAGGAGGAG